CCCTCAATATTCATATAGAGATACATAGATAGATACTAGTAAAGGTATTAGATATATAAACATAATTATGTAGAGATATGTTAATAGATATGATATGAGAGAGTGAGAGGGTCAGAGAGGGAGGGTGAGAGAGAGAGGGTGACAAAGGGTGAGAGGTTGAGAGAGAGAGGGTGTGTGTGTAAGAGAGCCAGAGAGAGAGAGAGAGGTGGAAAGAATGAGAGGTCGAGGGTCAGAGAAAGGGTGAGAAGGGGTGAGAGAGGGTGACAAAGGGTGATAGAGAGATAGAGGGTGAGAGAGAGGGGTCAGAGAGAGAGAGGGTGGGAGAGATGGTGAGAGAGGGGTTGAGAGAGTGAGAGAGAGAGAGTGAAAATGAGAGAGACTTGGGAAAGTGCACACTGCAGGCTTTAACTGGAAGGCATTGTGTTGTTTAAATCTGCAGCTGGGAGACATTTTTAAAGTCTTAAAGGTTAAGTATTGTCTGATGATATGGGTATTTTTGCAGGCGTTCGTAAGTACTTCTTTTTCATCAAGGAAAAGGTCGCCTCAGATTGGAAGGACCTGGCTTTCCATCTTGGATTTGAAAAGCCGGGCACCGATAATATTGCCGGTAGTAACCGAGATGACAAGTCTTGCTGTATGCATCTGTTGGAGGAATGGCTCAAGCGCAACGGAGAGAGGGCCACCAAAGAGGTCCTGATGGAGGCTCTGTCTAAAGCAAAGTTACAGAGTACTGTGGATGGGCTAAAGATGGTATATCCTGGTAATTATCCTCTAAGTTTATTACCTCCTGGTAGGGATGTATCCCGTGCACGGAGGTTTTGTGGGGGAAGATGAAAATTACGTTCGCAGCCGTTTCTCGCGTTTGGGTGGACGGATATGTCTGGGACTTGGTGTACGTTTTGCTATTGGGCTGTAGATGGTGCACGTTGTTTTGGTTTTTTAGCATGTGTGTTTTAGTGCGTGAAAATTATGCGTTTTGAGAGCGTATGGACACCCCTTGTGTGTGAAAGTGGTTTTGTCTTTTGATTTTCGGCGTGTATTAAGTGTCGCAGGCGTCGTCCACATCTGGTGAGAGGGGTGTCAGGTATCGAGGAAAGAAATATTATCGCAGTTGTTTCTCGCGTTGGGGTAGACGGGACCCATGGAAATCCAGCTCAGTACGCTGACTTCCGGGTACCGCGGGTTATTTTTATCTGGCTCGAACATCAAAAAGGGCGCATAGAAATTGTCCCGAAACGGTGTACACAATCTACGTTAGGTAATGTACAATCCCTATCACCTGGCGCTGAAACGTCGCTCATGACAGCACCGGAGCTCATGTTTTGCCCCCAACAGTTGAGGAAAGTCCTTTTCTTCCTAGTTGTTACAGTTTTCCCATCTATCATTGCAGTGGTTTGATTAAAAGTTCAAAATTCAATGTTTAAATTTTAACCCAGCCTTTTGTGTTGACTTCATGGCTCATTTTGTAGCATTTAAGCCTATAATAGGATGCCTAGACCTGTTTTTATTTTTATTTTTTTTCGCCCTGTCGCTTCATATTTTTTCTGAAAAAATCCGAGAACCAACAAATTAAATTGGTGTGGCCTAAGTAACTAAAAACATGACTGATCACATTCCAGTTGATGTGGCTGACTACTTCGACCAAGTCATCGAGAACGTGAGCTACAAGTGGGAAGACTTGGCCCGGAAACTTGGGTTCAAACGAGGAGAGATCAAATCAATCGATGAAATGTGTCGGAACCCTGATGCCAGGTGCAGGGAAATGCTTGAAAGGTGGCAAGGAAGAAACGCAGATGGTGCAACCCTACAAGTTTTGAAGCAAGCCCTCATCGACATTGGCGAACGGCTGAGAGCAGAGAGCTTGAAGTTGAAAGGTAGGTGTGTCTGTAATCTTGAAGACGTGTCGACAATGCCCTCATGATTCTAAACCAAAAACTAGATCTAAGAACACAGACACATTTTCAGTTCAGTTGAGTTCAATTCAATTCTTTATCAAAACAACTCACTGACATGTGTCTGAGTTGTGTTGTTCTTACCAACAGTAGGCACTTCATCTATTCTGATCTCATCCTATATCCACTTCAGTTAATTACCTCCGGGTAGGGATGTATCCCGTGCACGGAGGTTTTGTGGGGGAAGATGAAAATTACGTTCGCAGCCGTTTCTCGCGTTTGGGTGGACGGATATGTCTGGGACTTGGTATACATTTTGCTATTGGGCTGTAGATGGTGCACGTTGTTTTGTTTTTTTAGCATGTGTGTTTTAGTGCGTGAAAATTATGCGTTTTGAGAGCGTATGGACACCCCTTGTGTGTGAAAGTGGTTTTGTCTTTTGATTTTCGGCGTGTATTAAGTGTCGCAGGCGTCGTCCACATCTGGTGAGAGGGGTGTCAGGTATCGAGGAAAGAAATATTATCGCAGTTGTGTCTCGCGTTGGGGTAGACGGGACCCATGGAAATCCAGCTCGGTACGCTGACTTCCGGGTACCGCGGGTTATTTTTATCTGGCTCGAACATCAAAAAGGGCGCATAGAAATTGTCCCGAAACGGTGTACACAATCTACGTTAGGTAATGTACAATCCCTATCACCTGGCGCTGAAACGTCGCTCATGACAGCACCGGAGTGAAAACATGACAACGAGAAATGACAATCATCACACAAGGTCTCTGCAATACGCTGGTCAACTATGCTGGACACTGAGCGGGGCGCTCTCGCTGCTACATCTGGAAACAACGAACACTGCCCCGGAAACGCCGGCAGGCCGGCCGTGTCTGAAACAGGGCTGCTATTCACACTGATATCTAAACAAACACATGGCGGCACGACCTGGATCTGAGAAACACTCTCACCATTCTGTAACTCGTGAGCATCTGTAGTACTAGTATACGAAAGCGCCGACTGTCGGTCGGAACCGGTCAAATCTAACAAACCATCATGTCTACCAAATATATCACCGCCACTGGTGCTAACCGTGGCAAATATGTCGCTGTTCTTAGCTGCCTGCCGCGGTTTGGTACCGGTTAAATCTAACAGGAATCAATGAAACCTTGCTGATTGCGATTTGTTTTCGAAAATATTATTTTGTCTCATGTTTGTAAGGTTCGCTCAAAATGAGGTTCTAAGTTTCAACCGTAACATGAAAGATATGAACACGCTTCTGTGCATGTTTTGATGTGTTTTTTTTGACGTGATTTGAACTAGTGTGGGATAAGTGGGGAGGGATGGCAGCCGCGGGGGGAAGCGTAGCGGCTTGATAAATTTTCGAGAGCAAGTTCCGTGCACTGGAGTTGATTTCTCACGCGGCCGTTTGTGTAGGTGTTTGTTTACATTATCGCTGGTCGCTGAGGGTCAGGCAGCCAGATTCGCCACGGGATGCCCCTGTCCTTTCTATTTTTGGGCTCCAGTCGGCTAGGGGGGATTAGTGATTTCACAGATCATTTAGCCAATTACAAACATTTCGAAACTTTTGGAAAAAATGGTATTCGCGTGAACACGCACACACCCAGACACCATTCACTAATTTAAAGAACAGTCCCAACATGCACCCAACATTCTGCAACATACATTACAATACCCGGAGGTACAAAATCTACGATTTTCCTTGTTTTTTCTTGTTTTTCTGTGGTTTCTTCTAGTATTGCCATTAAGCCATTATCAATTTGATCCTTCTTCATTTTTCTAAATTAAAAGTCAAGAACATTCAGGTTCTGAATCAACTCCAGAATGAAAAGACATGTTTTTTAAGCACTAACAGTTGAAGTCTTTGTCTTCCTATATATGCTGCTCTTTTTCCATTTATCAATGTGGTGATTGATTCAAAGGTCAACATTCTTGGCATGAATCATAAACCAGCCTGATATGATGACTTTATGGCTCCTATGGCATTTTCTGCATAAAACCAAGCACTACCAAATCAATTTAATGTGGCCTTAACTTTGAAAACTGTACATTCTAAAAAAAGAAGGAATCAATAAAAAGTGAAGGTGAGAAAATGAGTTGAAAAAGAAACATTTTAAATCTTGCATATTCTCAACCTATTGATTAGTTTTTAGGTCATGATATTATATTCTTTTCAACTCATTTTCTTACCACTTTTTTTATTGTATACAATGCCTGATTTAAAAGAATTGATACATTAATTTTGCACCATCTATTTCCTAGAGTTTGGTATGCAGCACACCTCAATTGGGCAGCAGAGGGAGGAAAAAGAAAGCAGACAGAAAGAGTGTAAGTGGTCAAACTACATTATGCTTCTGAACAGCTTTCCTAAAATTGTTATGTAATTGTCATTCCCCCACTTAAGCTTTCATCAAGCTAACCTGAAGATTGTAAGATACCACATTGTAATTGTTTAATGAAACCATGCCATTCTTGTTGAAAAAGTACTTTTGAAATGTAATTTGGGTTGGGGAGAATATTAATAATGATATACACATTATGGTTGCTGTGTCCATTTGCAAACATGTAATTGAAGAGAACATGCATGATGGGGGCTTCTTGATAGCTGTAACATATAATGAGATATGCAGAGGTGAACATAAGCAAATTAAGTTAAATCACAAGATATTTAACAATACAAAATGTAACTGGTGATGGGGTTGTGGAACCTTAGTTCACCCTTTGTTTGAAGAGTAAAGCTTTACATGTTAGAAACAGTTAATAGTAAAAAAAATGTCTAACTTCCCTCACCATGGTAACTTCAACCATTTTGTCTTCTAGATCCTTCTCCACTGCCCATTGTAGTGGAAATACTTGCACAAGTGTCACCAAGTGTTGCAACCCCACAACAACTATTAAGCTTTGCTCGTGCAAGGACGACACTTGTTGATCTCACAACTGTGACAGATGATACCCACCGTCTGTTGGAACAGGTAAAGCCTAACACAAAAACCATAAAAGACTTACTCGACATTACAAAAGCAATCAAGGAACTGGAAAAAATTGGTGGTATGAGTGTCCGTAGTGTCAAACCAGGCAGCCTAGTGTTCTTCCTGCAATGTGCAGACTTGGCCGGGTTGGGACAACTGTGGTTCATGTACAAAAGTGGAGAACTGGACAACCTGCTACATGATAGCTTGATAAGTGAGGAAACCCTACAGCAACTGTCTGCTGAGAGTATCACCGTGAAAGCCACCATCAAAGTACAGGACTTTAGGAAGGTTCTGGTCTACCTCCTCACCACACCTCTTGTCAAAGGTAATTTTCAAATTGCTGACCACTTTAATTTAGTTACATAATACATGTATATAATACTTACAATGCGACAGAGATACATTTTACAATAATAAATGTAACATAAAATCAACATTTCAGCAATTCAACATTTGCAAGCAAAGGTAGAATATTTCACTCACATCCCTCCTCCATGCAAAAATTCATATATATCAGGACCAAAAATATACATTATTTACTTGAAAATTAAACAAAAAGTAAAACAATATTATACATACCAACCAACAAAACAATATAACTACTATAAAATCACTTAATCATATCAAGTCAGCGAATTAATGAACACCCCCTGTATTTGATGTTAATACATGTAGGTCAATCCATAGCGAGGCTACCTCTGGAGTGCCCCCTTTATCAACCACACAGCCGCACCATTAGCAATGTGCTGGAGGTACTTCATCTTGATGACAAAAACCTGCCAAGACCTTCAGGAAAACAGCACAGCCAGGAATCTGTACAGCTAGAGGGCAGCAGTGATGTTCCTGTGGCCAGCCTTGACATATTGCAAACAGGTAAGGGAAACAGTGTTCTAATATTGACAAAAGACACTTTTATCCAACAGTGTGTGCTGCAAACATTATCAGAAATGGACATCTTAAAATTTGTGCATTGATTTTATTTTTTGCATGAATATTCTGATCACTGCAAATTAATCATAAATCCTCATCAGGGTTTTTTCTAGAAAAATTTAGCATGAGGGAGCAGATCGCAAGCATGGCATGGGAGCAAAACGACCAAGGGGGATTTTTTATGAGAGTAACATACTATTAGTTTGTAATGCTAGAATGCATTGTTGTATAATTGTTTTTACATCTTTACTTTAAAAAGATCATTTTGAGCAAGACTGAATTGTGTGTAAGTAGCCACTTAGGGTTCAATCTGAAAATTGATATGAGGGAGCTGGCTGGTTACATGAGGGAGCAGCGCCCTTAGAACATGGCCACATTTCCTCAGCCAATCAGGAGCCTGTATTTCTAAAATGTGACTAAAATCCACATAAACTCGCTCCACCCATCCTTTAACTATTACATAACAAGTGATTAACAACTTGTGAAGTGTATAAAGCTTCACTTTCATGTAGATCACAAACCAGGATGCTAACCTGTAATCATGACATGACATTGTATTATTGTCGCATTAAAACAAGCAATGTCAATTCTATCCTTATGTTTAACAAGGAGAGAGGGTGCACACTCCACCATCCCTACAGAACTTTCGAACCGAATTGCCTGTGGACAAAAACCTGACGGTACTACGGAAATTGCGTAGGAAGAGATGTAAGTATGTAAGAGAACAGTATGCTTGATTTCTGCAAATCAGACTGCTTTGATGTACATTCAAGAGTACGTTCAGATCATATGTTACCTTGAGTTGAGGGTGGGTGTAGGATCTGAACATACATTCTTGACATTCGGGTTTTTGCCTGTGTGAAAATTGGGGTCCACGGAACACTAACAGTTGCAAGTCCCAGGAAACAGTGATGTAGCCTCTACCAGGCTTTTGAAGGTGGCTGGAAAGAGCAGAAATTGGCCAAATAGAGATAACATGTCAGGGGAGTTGAATGCTAATACCATAGAGTACAACTGGCATATTATCTCTCTACCCGTTAGCCAAATTCTCCCAAAGCCTGGAAGAGGCAAAACAGTCATGGTCTGCTGAGAGGAGTGATGTAGCAGGAAGTGGTCAGAAAACCACAGAGCTTTCCAAGTATTAGGGGAAAGAAGTGGGAAAGGATTGAAAACAGCAAAGACAGGAGGTGACAAGTTAGGCACACCCCCGGAAGGGAGAAGTATGCAGAAAGGAAATGTCTAATGGACTTAAGATGGGAAATATTAGTATCTTAGGTCATACCTGATTCACACACGGGTAAAAACCTGAAGGTTTAATTGAAAATTGATTCACTGCGCTCTTTTACCCCTAGCCTACCGTAGAGAATTATTTGTTCTTTTTGTTTAAGTGCTTCTTAGGCCAATATGATCTTGATCTAAGATCTAACTCCCACGCCAAGCTCCAACCCAAAAAATGTTTAACAACTACTTCAGGACAATTTATAAATGGATTCAACTGTCATTTTTTAGCCAAATGAGCTGGAATTTTGCATGGAGGTAGAGTGGGCCAATACTCCCAGGCGTTTTTTTCATTTTTTTGATACATACCTTTGAAAACTTCTTATGAAGGTTTTTTTGGGGCATTTTTTGACTAAAAATGGATTTTCGGATCCTGAGCCATGGTATTACATGTACAACCAAATGATCTGAAATTCGGTATAATGGTACCTTGAACGTGTGTCTACAAAACAGCAGTCACATATTTGGCATACACCACTTCCAAATGACTCATTTGGTGGACTTTAATGGCTCTTTTCAGCCAAAAAAGGGCCAAAAGTGCTACCCATTCCACGTTTGATGTAAAGAATGGCCCGTTCCATCTGCCGTTGGCCATCAAACACATCGAACATTGCGGGTTACCTGGGGTCACGTTGCACGTAAATCGTGCGCAATGACCCACACATTCAATTTTATGTGCCTTAATAATCATTCCTCATCTACAATCACGACGATTCAATATGCCAACCATCCTAATCCTGGGTACCGCAAAGTGTTTCGGAAGGTATGTGTTGCCCCTTGAAAATACAGTACCAGAGACAAACAGACATGTGATTCGTAAAATAACTTTGTGGTTTATCCATGTGTCGACTGTGTGATGCAAATTGTTTTATCTATTATCTGCTATTCTAAAATTACGTTACTTCTAGCGGAAAATTGTGTAATATGTCAACAAAGTGTAACAGTGGGGTTCATTTTGTACATTTTGTACCAGCAGTGGAGGCCTACCGCCCTCACAGGACATCATGCGATGTCACGAAACAAGAAATGTCTGCCGTAGAAGAAATATTATGCCTCAAATTCACGGCGGGTTTGCCAAAGGAAAAATTATTATATTATGAAAAACTTAAACTGTTCTCCAACTCAAAATTTGACTCACCAGAAATTTTCGACTGAATCACTCAGTCTTCCTCAGCTATCTGACCCAAATGCTGTGGACACGTGATTTTTCCCACGTGTGACGTCAGCAAAGGGTCAAAGGTTGTCTGAAGTCAATATCCCCCTGTCCCGGTTGAGCGATGGTTGAAGTGCCCTGATTTATATGGCCTCTTTTATGCCTCTCTTGAAGTAATCCTGTTCGGTATCCAAGATTCTGACTCCCTCTAGATCCACTGTGTGTCCCGATGAGTGGATGTGCTGTCACAGTGACACCTCAGATGCAACAGAACTGGGTCGTCTATGTTCTAGAAACCTGGTTTTTAGTGAGCGCTCAGTTTCCCCGATATAAGTTTCCCGACAGGGGCCTCTGTTGGTGTTTCCCTGGCAACTTATGTGGTAGATAACCCCACACTTGTCTTCCTTGGGAGTTTTGTCCTTAGGTGCCACAAGGAGCTGTCTTAACGTACGATGAGGTCTAAAACAGGTACTCACTCCATGTGCAGCAAAGATTCTATGTATACTACTGGGGCTCAGAAACACCCTTTACGTATGGGAGGACTACAAGTGTTTTTCTGTTTTTCCCTCCCGTTCCCTGACTATCGTGGGGTTTTGACCGGGGTTGTCTAGGCTCGGAGGCTTTCTTAATGAGCCACTGAGGGTAGCCACACTTCTTTAGGGCTTCTGTGAAGTGATCGATCTCGGCGATTCTATCCGCAGGATCACTGATGATGGTATTAGCTCTATGTAAGAGGGTCTTGATCACTCCCAATTTGTGGTCCAATGGATGGTTTGAGAAAAAATTTAGATATTGGTCCATGTGTGTCGCCTTACGGTATATGTTCACCCGCAGGCGACGAGTGAAAATAACTTCAATAAATGAACATATTTCTTCTGAGTACAGTCAATATTGACACCAACAAAAAAACTCGAGTGACGCGCGGTAAGAAAATTGTACGTAACTCCCGGCGCAAGCGAGTGACGGCTCACTTTATAAACTCCCGACGCAATGACTCATGTCATGGCGACTGAATGGTTCACCAGCTGAGGACTTTCCACAACCATGATGATATTAATAAAGGAATATATTATAGATATATCATGTTGAAATGAATTGAATAATTGTAATACTAGTACATGGTTCTATTAAATAGCGGTAGCTTTGTTTCTTATTTTGACGCGGGGAAACTGTCAAAAGATCATTTTGACAGGGGGAAACTGTCAAAAGATTGAGGGAACACAAACCGATATCAGCGCACTTCCAGGTGCAGTATGCCAAAACTTCTTGACGATTTGTATAGACCCGGACTTTTGCGTGGGAGGAGATGGACTGAAATATGCTGTATTTGCCTCCCAAGCAAATGTTGGCCTCTCTAGTTTTAACAAGGCTGAGGCAATAAAAATCATTGCCAAGGCGACGATTGAAAGATATAATATTATTTCATGTGGTGGAGCTAGCAATCTACATTACAGAAAAACAGACTTCCCTATCTTATAAACACATGCATGTAGTGAAATTTACAGGATGGGTGGAGGAGGTGTGGGGCAATATACCAAATACACGTATAGAAGGAATCAGCCGTTCTTCCCCAGCAATATAAATTTCATGATGACATACTTACTTACTTTACTTTGGTAAGTGAGACTTTTGTCGAGTTCCCACTCAAACCAAACTTAAAACCATCCTCCACTTCACTCTATCCTCCACCAGAGACTGGATTTTACGTCTGGTCTGAAGTTGTTACTCCTAGGACTTTTTTTTACCTTTTGTGGGTTCCAAAAAGACGGATAATTTCCTTTGTCTTTGGCCAAAGACAGCTGTGCTCTCTGTCCATGGTGTGGGGAGAAGACAGATGACCAGTAATTAATCATGCCAGGCAGCTGGATGGGTGGCACGTGGGCACCCGGTGTAAGTTACCTGCTTGATCCAAAAACCACATGGCCGAAGGTTACCTCAGAACCAATTCCCTAGGGAATGCATTCGTGCAATTTTTGAAATTCTTTCAAAGCGATCGTAGTACTTGCACAAATGCCTCCGCCCCAAAGGCGTCGCCAAAAATTACTTCTTTCACAGAATTGTACACACTTGGAATAACCTGCCCGTTAATACTAGACTCTTAAAATCTAGCCCCACTACCTCCTTCTTCACCTTTAAAAAAGCTATACTTGATCATTATAATTCTCTTATATACAGCAAATTTGACCCTTAGGCTAATAACATCTGCACATGGATCAACCACTGCCAATGCCAAAATTATACCTCATTTTAAATCGGTAATTCAGTCATTCTTTATACTTTTTTCAAATTGTTATTATTACTCCGTGAAGGAGGTCAGGACCTCCGGACGGAGTGTTGTGAACGGCTGATTTTTCATGTTCGCAGTCAAAACACTGGGTTCTCTTTGTGTAATCGGCACGCAATTTTATACGCCGTTTGCGGGCATGCCCGTGTTGATGCATGAATGTACGTGTATTTTTGCCGTTGCTGCTTTCGCGGTCAATGTAATATTGCAGACGCACCCCTACAATTACGAGGCGAATTGGAATGGTCCAGAAAAACGCGTTGTTTGGAATAGCAGTGGGGGGGTGGAACTTCATGCAGATACGGGGTGGTTTTGATAATTAGTGGTTCCAGATGTTTTTGCCCATGCTTAAGAGATGCCAAGTTTTTTTGAAGATGTTCGCAGCCAAAACGCATTCTTCCGTACGTCGCATTTCTGTGTAATTTCGCATGTGGTGTGGCATTATGGCATTTCTGTGTAATTTCGCATGTGGTGTGGCATTATGTCCTTTTATTTTTACCGTAGCTGTTTTGATATTGGAGTAAATGGTTATTTTCGAAACATCCCCATGTTGTTGAAATGTTGTCGCCCGTGCGACCGGTAGTACTAGAGTATTACTCTCGCGGTCAGGCTGATGGGGACGGAAATGTGGGGTGGTCAGAGGTCATCATTATGAAATGTGAATACCGATGACGTAATCCTATCGATTTCAAACTGGTCGGGTGTGGCGACCTAGTGGCGGCGTGTATTTAGTCACGTAGCAACTGGCCGGTCGTCCTAGCAACGAGCATGCTGGCCGCTCCATAGTGTTAGTGGAGCAGCTCTCTGTATTAAAACATGGCCAATATTTTTGCGCAACCCATCAATGTGTTCTGCCTCGTGGTTGGATATGGTCTGGGGCTGGTAAACCGCACATAGATCGGATAATTGTATGATTTGCTAGTTGTATTTAAAGCGCGTCTTGTAGTATGAGTCGGTATAGGAAGAAGTAGCCTGTGTTACACAATCATGCTTTCGGTCGGAGGTTAATGACCCCCACCCCAGCAACTTCGGCGCCAGGAGCGCGATTAGTCAGGCTAAGGAAGAAGCACGCTCGAAAACACGTTTTATGGGTGTAACGTGCCCTTATAATTTAACTGCACCTGTTCTGTTGTCTTTCTAGTAGTAGACATAAGCGGTAACTGGTGATATGGCTGTTTTATATTATGACCAGTTGCGGATGATTGATACAGGAAATGCGGGCTGTGATGAAAGTGTTCATTGATGTGCGACTGTTACTAATTGCAGGGACTGCGCTAATGCCGACTGGTTGTGGCTTGGCCAGTCGCGCTGTCCTGATACACCGCGAATGTTGGGCATTATGCGAGTGTTCCCTGTAGACAGTCCTGGAGTCATTTTTTCGCACATTCGCACATTCCAGCAGCCAAACCAAAATACGTGATGTACTGGGGGCAATCATGATTTCGGCCGGAGGTTAATGACCCCGACCCCGGCAACACCATTGACAAGACAACAATAGAAAAATGCAGCCAGCGAACCAGCAAGGTAACACCAGGGTCAGCAACACGCTTCCAATCAGAAAGTATCACACCTCACAGAGAATTGTCGCCAATGGCTACTTCTCTTTGTTGCAATATATAAAACTTCACGGAGGGTTGTCGCCTATGGCTTTTTGTTATTATCTGTACTTACTACATGTATTGGTATGGTTTCAATTATTGTTTCAATTGTTGTTTCAATTATTGTTATTTAAGTCTTTGTGTGACTTTATCATACGTTACTTTATTATTACTCCGTGAAGGAGGTCAGGACCTCCGGACGGAGTGTTGTGAGTAGCCGTTTTTTCGTGTTTGCAGTTAAAACACTGGGTTCTCTTTGTGTAATCAGCACGCAATTTTATACGCCGTCTGCGGGCATGCCCGTGTTGATGCACGAATGTGTATTTTTGCTGTTGCTGTTTTCGCGGTCAATGTAATATTGCAGATGCACCCCTAAAATTTTGAGGCAAATTGGAATGGTCCAGAAAACGCGTTGTTTGGAATAGCGGTGGGGGTGGGTGGAACTTCATGCAGACGTGTGGAGGGGTCGATATGTGGTACCATACGTGTTCGCAGCCAAAACGCATTGTTCTGTACGTAGCATTTCTGAGTGTGTAATTTGGCATGCGGTGTGCCATTATGTCTGCGGCGATGCACGTCTTTTTATTTTTACCATTGCTGTTTTGATGTTGGAGTAAATGCTTATTTTTGAAACATCCCCGTAATGTCGTTGAGATGTTTTGGCCCGGGTATGTGACCGGCGGTAGTAACACTCGCGGTGCTGGCTGCAACTGTTGCTAATTAATATATAAAATGATTGCTGACTGGTTTTTGGCCAAGCCAGTCGCGCTTTACTGATAAAGGGCCATAAAGTGCAACTGTTGGCCATTATGTAACTGTTTAATGTTTGTCGGGCAACTGTTTCAGATTATTTGCTTATGATAAGTAACTATTCCTTATTTAAGTGATATAACAGGAACGGTAAGACGGTGGGGCTATACATGTAGGTCTGGCGTTGACGCTTGGGGTTATTTTTGTTGCAAAATATAAGACTTCACGGAGGATTGTCACCTATGGCTTCTTGTTTTGTATTACAATGAACTTTTCATTATTACTTTTTGTTACTATTATTATTACATGTATTATTATTATTATTAGTAGTAGTAGTATTACATGTATCATTATCATTATCATTATTATGTGGTCAGAGAGTTGTAAAGGCACTTGCCTGTTTCCCTTGGCCATTTTTTTATATATGTAAAAATATAAATAAGAAAACTGTCTATGCAGGTGAGTGTATGAATACTGTGTGACTGTGTCAATATGCTAGTCTTGTTCACCATAGAGTAACAGGAAATGATCGCTGGACACATGGTAATGGTAGTCAAAACATTGTTTGCATAATTTACAAACTGCAATTGAATAAGACAATCTAAATATTTCACAGAGTTATATGGCTTCTTGCAACTTGTTTTGTAGCCACTGACCTGAAGATGGAGTGTCCAGACTGTGGGGAGTCAGTGTTGAGAGCCATGCAGAAGTTTTGCCACAAGTGTGGGACACAACTGCAGAAGAGACAGAAGTTCCAGGACTCTGGTGATGGAGGAGTGGTCGTCGTTCCTACATCCAGTACGGCGTCTGCTGTGTTAGCAGGTGAGATTCATGTTTGCATGGTTTCTGGGATGGTGGGTCTTTTTGTGCAGGTTTTACAGGTCATATGACCTCCATATATTTATGTATCAGGTTTGCTGATAAAACAGTCTATTCCGTATCGCCCGAGGTACCAGCCCAACTGCGGGTCGGATCGCCAGAAAGCTGGAGGGAGTGTCCAAATTCTAACATCTAAAATATAATGAATCGGATCTAACATTTATGTCATGCAATTGTCTACCTGAGTAAGGTTTATAGAAATCTGGAATTATACTGACTGAAAAAATGCAGTTTACTGTTTTAACCTTTAACACTTAAGAAGTCCCTTTTGAAACAGCGAAACCTGCCAACGAGCCAAACAGCAGCAAAGAAAGACCTTTAGACCTTGCAGTTGGTGAGGGAAGTGTGTCCAGCCTGTCAGCTGACCACAGACAAGAACCTACAGACAAGGCAAAGAAAGAACAGGAAAATCAGTGAGTACACAAGACACACATTGTACAAGAAAACCATCATTACTGGCCAGGTATACAATTTCATTCTGATTATTCTTACTTTCATTTCTAGTTGAATTGGAAGAGCTTACAGTAGGCAGATTGAAGCTTTAATATCTCAACAAAATACATTATTGACCATTGTTTCTCAATCATTTCCTGGAGCTACTAATTTGTATACAGTCAAACTTGGGTACTTGTATACATGTATGTACAGTTCACTACGTCTCCACTTGGCCAGTGTCATCACTTTTTGGTGGTCTTTTCTATAATTTTTCCCATTGACACAAGCAATCAGAACCCTTTCTATAGTGACTACCAATCCACATAGACCAGATCTTATTTTTCCCCAGCATATTTTTGTGTGCAGCTTTGACTACATGTGTATGGCCGGGTTAATGGAAAAAGGAGTCCCGTCCGATTGGCGGAAAAAGCAGTCCAGTCCGATTTCGGGGTGGAAAAAGCAGTCCGGTGGTTTGTACAACATTTTACGAAAGACCATAGGCACAATATTTTCTTGTGTGTGTACTTCTAGTTTCTATGAGTACTTCGAGTTTCTATGGGTAATAGAGTTTCTATGAGTACTTTAGAGTTTGTATGGGAACTTACATGTAGAGTTTCTATGAGTACTTAGAGTTTGCATGGGAACTTACAGTCTGTAACTTCATATAGCATCATCATCATCATGCCTCCAGATTATTACTTACATATAAGTAATAATAATTAGTCAAAAGATGAAGCGGTCAACTGACGAGATTTCCAGGGCCGATCCTGCTTGCAAGTAGCCTGATTAAATCGCTTTACGGTTGCCAGCTGCCCAACATCCAGCCGGCCCCTGCTAAAGCTGCGTATGGCAGACTTTGCATTACACCGACAAACATGTAAGTACCGGAAGTACAATTGTAAGAAAGAATCCCTTAATAATTAACTTTTGTTTATTGTGGATAGGTGACCTGTATGTATAGAAACTACTTTTGGGTGGTCCCACTCACTCACTGCACGGCTTAGCGTCCGTTGTTCCCCGTCATGCAAGGGTTGGACGTCGTGTAAATCAGTTGTCCGCTATTCCTCACCCAAGGCTGCCTGAATTACGGGTTAAGGCAGCATATAGTGAGTGACACATATATGCTAATTCAAGTTCCCATACAAACTCTAAGTACCCATAGAAACTCGAAGTACCCATAGAAACTCGAAGTACACACACAAGAAAATATTGTGCCTATGGTCTTTCGTAAAATTTCGTAGAAATCACCGGACTGCTTTTTCCACCCCAAAATCGGACTGGACTGCTTTTTCCGCCAATCGGACTGGACTCCTTTTTCCATTAACCCGTGTATGGCCAAGTTAAACTATTTTCTGTCCAGGTCATATTACAGACCCCCACCCAACAAGACTTCACACAAACCAGAAGTGACTGAAAGAGGATCAACAATGACCTTGCACTTCCATGTCCTGGTTTCTCCTGACTTCAAAATGAAGCCGAAAGTGGACCAGGTCCATGTGAGAAGTGACATAGTCGACTGGAATGACTGGGAGAGCCTTGCTGTCCTTGAAATTACACGGTAGGAACTGTCAGTTAACTGATGGAAAATAGACTTGTAGATCTGTTGCATGTAGATAATTAGCTATTGGATATTTTACCAATGATGAGATCACTTGTAGATACATGTAAGTTTCACTTACCCTTTATTAATCATAAGTATTTGTAACTAGAAACTTATTATAAGGTAACATTTATAAGGCAACTGCATAATGTTTACTTGTACTTTCATATGGTCTAGCCAATTAATTACTGCTCTGTTTATTCTTAATCAAATACTACATGTACTACTAGTACAATCTTATAGTATATGAATATTGTATATGGTGACCAGTCCCTCCAACTCTATCCAGCTACAATAACATAATGTAACCCAACAGTACAGTGCCAGTTACCATGGTGACAGAAGAAGAAGAAACAGTGAAAACCAATATTTTTCTTCTGTGAATGATTCACTGATCCTTTTCTTTTCTGCAGGCACCTGAAAGATGACTACCTGGTGGCAGAAGGCAAATGCACTGTGAATCTTGGAAGGATTAGCAACAGATACATCTCATTTAAGTATGTTGTGGTCCACCAAGACAGCAAGATGAGCTGGGAATTCATCCACTACAACATGGGTGGTGTGATGGTCAACAGATGCTTCAAGCTTTCAGCTGAGGAGTGCCAACCAGGAGGTAAGTGTTATCCAGGCATTTACTATCTTTTACAATTTCTACACATTAGATAGGCCAGCCACTTATCAATGGCACAACAATCAAGAATGTCATTAGTATATTTTCCAAATATTCCATAATATTATGGACAATATTGTCTTCCCAGTACGGAAGTAGCGACATTGTATATTCCAGCACCCAAAAATCTGATTCACATCTTGTACCAAATAATTTCTACAAGAGATCTTCTTGTGTTCTGATTTGTCTTGTACATTCTTCATTGCATTGATGATTCCATATGATTTAATTGTGATCATGGGACATCAAGCAGTTAGAACCAAGCAGTTATACATTTGTAAAATTATGTGGTATCTTACTACCAGTGCCATTGTGTAGCATAGTGTGGTGTAATGGTCAGAGCATTTAGATCAGAATCAAGAGGTCCCGGGTTCGATCCCCTGACTTGACCAATGTTGTGTTCTTGGGAAAGGCACTTTACACTTACTTCCCTCCATGTACAATGGAGTGGCGCCCATTGGGCCTTTTGGCTACTTGTTGATACTCGGTGTCCAAACACAAATGATTTGGTGTTGCCAATGTGCCAAGATCTGCACATTTGCCACAAAGAACCATACATTTTTTTAGTGTAGGCATGATTGATTCAAAATAATCTTGTTGTCAAAATGATCTTGTTGTTACTGTAGCCGAAGTCCACCTGTACAACGATGTGATGCAAGTGGAGCACGGACTTAAGGACAAATTCAAGTCTATCATCGGCTGGAGTAGTGTGGAGAAGAAAGTCATTCACGATCGTCAAATTGCTGCCCACACATGGTTACCTCGATGGAAAGGCTTCACATGTGATCAGCAAGGTGAAGAGCAACTGGCATGTGATGTCATGAAGCAAGTCGAGGATATTTGCAAGTGGTTGACTCTGAGCCCGATATCTGCTGGTGCTAACAGGCGGGTCTGGGCACTTCAGGATTTTTCCTTTGCAGAGGTAATTAATATATATATATGTTTGCCTTTGTCTTCCTCTTTGTTATGCTATGATGGTAACCCTGTTTTTCCAGGAAGTATTTTTGTTGATTATGTTTACAGAAACCCTGTTTTAGATGATCAAATACAATGTGCACATAAATGTACCAAGATTTTAGAATTTGATATACATGTATAGTACTTAGTATTGAATGATTTATGATATAATAATTGAATTTTAAGTGTCTCCCCAGTTTAGCCATGTAAGGCTGCAATGGTATGTTAACGTTGTGCACATGTTGCAAGTACAAATGTAAACCAGTCATCATCATTATCATCATCATCATGATGTCTCACTTATTACATGTGTACAGGTACTGATGGAGTACATCCGCCCGAAACTGGACCAGCTGGAAAAGACAAAGGAACACAAGAAGGAGAGCCCAGAGGAAGCCCAGGCACGGATTGTGTCTGCCCTCTCCCTGTGTTGGCTGGTGAACAGGTTCAACCTCCAACTGACTGAGAAACAGGTACACACCCTGTTTGATGGGCTCCTCATCAGGCCTGATGTCAAGGACAAAAGTTGCCACGAAGTTGAGACCTTCTTTCTTCACTTCCTGGATGGAAGGCTGAAGTAAGTGATGTTAAATTTAAAGATTTGCTGTATCATTCATTTTGAACGTGTATAAATAATAATAATCTTTTTCTATGTTAACTTTTAAGAAATAAAGGAACTGGTATTCCCTTAGCAATTTGTTGGTGGACCTGTACGTACTGTAACAGCATTGGATACTTTTGGAATGTTTTGATGAACATTGTTTTATAGTAATGTATGATTTAGACTGAGCTTTTCATTATTTATATTTACAATGTAATTCTGATTAGTTGCCTTCGACAAGAAGGCTATGAAATCGTTTTGGCACTGTTTGGCAAATTATGCACGATAAATTTTGAAGGCATGGTCCGAGGTTCACAATTTTTGGCAGGCAGGTTGTCTTAGTGATGGGCATTGTCAAGGCCAAAAATGGGCTTCGTTGGGAGTTCTTACGTGACTGGAGCTGACCTTTTGTGTTTGCGTTTTTTGTTGGACTAAATAACTCGGGAATCCTTAAATGGTTGACTGTCTATGATTTTTAGTTGGCAAGTTACCGTTGAAAATACGAAGGTCAAATTTGGAAATGGGCCTCGTGGGGGGTTCCCACGTCATTGAATTTGACCTTTTGTGTTGTTCGTTATTGTTGTTAGCAGGATAATTCATGAAGGATGTTCACGATTTTTTGTGAGCAAGTTACCGTTGACGATAGGAAGATCAAGTTCGGAAATGGGCGTCGTGGGAGGTCTGTACGTTGCTGTAGTGGGCTTTTTGTGAATGAACATTTTTAAGGGCAGGAGAAGACTTGGTCTGTTTTTTTATCTAGGATAAAAAAACAAGTTACAGACAGGAAGCTGTCAACAGTGGCAACAATTGTTTTCAACGTATTGGACATTGCACGCTTCAACAACGCTGGCTGTATAGAAGAATAATTTAGTTGAAGGAGTTTTTGCCGTTTTGAAGTTTGGATCGCCGCGCATTGGAGGGAAGAAAACAGACTCCCCAGGCCAATTCTCTCTCCTTTTTTGCCGAATTCAACGATCTGTATTTTCGTAGAAAGACATGGTACAGGCTTGGGAAATAGTATGTTGCTTCGTTCACAAAAGGACTCTCTGACCACTATAACTATGATAATCATCTTCAAAAAACCTACACAACACCCACCAAAACAATATCACACTGTCGAAGGCATGAGCCCTCCGAACTCTAGTTATGTATTATTTAGTTAATTGGTATTATTAATTATGAATTCAAACATGTATTTCATTTTGTTATACTTGTATATCCAAAATTAAAATTCTTAAATCATTTTTCTTTAGGGAGGTCACAGATGCTGTTGTAAACCTCATCAATGCTGCTATGTCAGGAAATGCACTGACGTCAAGGTGGTTGCTGGCACTGCCTGTACTCCACTTCTTGAGGAATGAGTCAACTCCTTTCAAACCAGTAGCACCCACAACAGACTTCCAGAAAGCTTCGCAGAAATGGTGGGGACTGGAAGGACTCAAGTACAAACAATTCAAGAAGGACATCAAATATAGGTGAGGAAATAGTGTTTGCTACAGGAACTGTATTTCAAGTTTAATGATGTAGTGCTGTGGAATAATGCACTTTTTCCTCTCCTTGACAGAAAAAGAACACTTTGAGGATATTGTTTAATATATACATACATACATACATACATACATGTACATACATACATATTTTAAGTAATTTGAATTTGTTGAACAATATAGTATAGGCACTAATTTCAATTTTGTCTATGTAGGTCTGCAGAGAAGCCCCTTGCAGTGATGAAGGAGCCTCCAGCCTTGTTTGAAGCAGACAGGCTGCTTGAGCGGTCTTGTGCAGCCATTCTCACAAACAAGGAACTGTTGGACCCCCTGACAGTGAAGACAGCCAGCCTCCCAACTCTGTGTGCAGCCATCGCTGTCAATGTTGCAACTGGGTATTCCCTATCAGTCGAGGAAGATAGACAGGTTATAATATTTTTTCAGAACATTGCAGTTGATAGCCCATCTGTGTTGGTATATAGAAGCCATAGTTGTAAGGTTCAAGCTTTGTTCCAACACAAGGAACTCACCATAAATTTTCGATCTCGTCAACCTTCGTCAGATGTGTGATGCACTCACGGACACTCAGGAAGTGGTAAGTGTGGTGATGTCAGGAGTGCATGTACATCAAATGTGGCGGAAAGACAGAATCTACCACCGTTATGGTGCAGGGATGATGGGCCCTGATGTAAATTGCCTCCTTTACACCCCTCACAAAACATAATGTTGAAATTGAAATTGTTGAGCAACTATGACATTGTATCATTTGCTTTAGATTAGAGATGAACTTTGCAGAATTTTAGTCCTTGCAGAATCATGTCTGTCCATTCTAAATATATTAGTCATAGAATAAGCACATTTTCTCATCAAACGTATGTAAAATATTGTTCTCTGTTTGTTTCTCCTGTATTCAGGCAGTCCTGGCACTTCTGGAAACAGCGACAGCACTTGCGGCTAGTAAAGGGTGAGCTTTGCTTCATTTGTGCATGTACAATAATATCACTTATGATAATCTGATTGAGATTAAATGTGATGTTTAGTTCTTCAATATACTTACATTTACATGTTGTTGGATCCATATTCAGATTTATTTGTTTACATTTTTACATAATTATCAAAGGTACTAAATGTTTATGCCTTTAGTCCTAAATTATCAGTGATAAAATGTTTAAAAAGTTATGGGTATGTTGCAAACCCACGGTATACTTTATTATAACAGAATGATCTTACATTTTGCTTGCTACTTGTGTGTAGTTACTGTAGTGACGCAAATTCAATGCTGGTTTTCACTGCTGCAGGGATGATGCAACAAGAAAAGAGGCATGTCAGACCTTCTGCATTGCGAATGAGGTGTTGCTGAGCTGTTTGGATGCCTGCACCTACCTTGAACGTCACCCGATCCTCATTGGTGCAGTACACCTAGCTGCGGCCTGTATGAGTAATCTTTGGCTACTCATGGACTCTGCAACAGACGCCAAGGCACAAAACATGCAGACGAGTATGAAGAAACTCATTGAGAATGTAACAACCCCCAATGTGATGAAGTGGTTGGACAAAAAGCTGAATGTGAGAATCTCCCCTTATGCAGCAGGGGAAGAGAGTAAGGTACTGTCAACGCCTTGATTTCTGTTCTAATATTACCATTATCAACTGTCATGTAAGAAATACATGTCATTTTCAGTATAATAAAAGTATATAATATACAAGGACTGATTCTTTCATGGCAAGTGTGATATTGTGAATATTTCATACTTTCATAACTGTGTTATTATTTTATAACAGTTGTTATTTCATAACAGTTAATATTTCTTACTTTCATAACAGTTGCTATTTCATAACAGTTAATATTTCATACTTTCATAACAGTTGTTATTTCATAACAATTAATATTTCATACTTTCATAACAGTTGTTATATGCATAGTACATTGTATCTTGCTGTTTCCCACATCGTTTTGAGATAACATTTAGTAATACTTGATGGTCAACTTTCTTAGGTATGGCTGGGTGTTCTCAGTGTAGACTGGGGAAAGGAAGAGGTGAACAACTACTGGAACAAAAGGCTGCTGGGGAATTTACATCAACGGCTCCTTGCTGTGAGTGTTGAGACTAGTATATCTGAGTGGTATATTTGAATGAAAAACCTCTCTGTCCAATCTCGAATTCCCAATTTAAGTTGTTAGGTAAAGAACCAATAATTTTATTATCAAACACAAGCAACAATGAGCATAACATCTGATTCAGTTGAGTGGTGGTTATCACTCTAACAGCAACACAGCTTGCAATCTCTAGACACACATTTTGCAAAAAAATTAACATTTTTTTATATTTTTTATATAATAAGCAACATTAGACAAAGAACAAGGACACTTAATTTAAAGAACCACATACAGCTACATGTACAACATAACAAACAATATTGGAGTGATATGTATACTATTTATTAGTAAAAGTTAACATTAGCACTAGTTGCCTGTCTTCTTTGTTGTTCTGTAGACTAAGTATTTTTCCATCATTTACCCCAGATCTCCCCAATGGAACGTGTGGAGCTGTTCTGTTCTCTGGACACCTCCACCTTCCCCCAGCACCTGGCACAGTGCTACAGCGATGCAGCTTTTGAAGCAGTGGATGATATTGTCAAGGTACTCTTCTTTGTACCATCATGATGAGATTATTTCAGGAACAATTTTCAGATTATTAAATTAACAAAAAAATTTAATACAGTTGAATCAGATTAGACAGTTGTTAAGTGTTGCAAAGTTGGGAAGTTACAAAGTATAAATACTCAGAAACTGATGATAAACAATTTTGCTGTACATGTGTGAGCTGTGTAGTACACATAATCCATTTTTAGGTACAGGTACACTGTTGGGTACATGGGTTAAGGTACAGGTCCAGACTTGTATGTGTGTCCTGAACAATTCAACAAATGAACTTGTTCTCCCGAACTGCTTCCATGATGACAGAAACATATATAATAAATTTGACAGTTATGTGTAAGTTTTCATTTATAAGAATTCTTATACAAAACATGGGTAAAACTACATTGTAAATAAATGTTTCAGTTTTCATCTCCTACCCTGCAACATACATGTATACCACACCAAAGTGACATCTAGAGGGAGGGTAACTTACATGTAATATGCAACTGACACAGATCTTTCAGGGTAGTTAACACTGTCTGTTACACAAACACACTGTCCTTACATTGTACTTTAGGACCCATTTGGGACAAGCTATTTATATGCCTTTTAGGTCACAAATAAGCATATAATTAGTGTGGTACACAGTACCAATACTTATGGATTAGGTATTTTGGACCTGTACCAGTATAGTAATCAATTTTTCTAGTGCATGTAACATGTGTCCATAATATCACCAGGGTTCATAATATCGCCACCTTGAGAAATAGTGTGCTTAAAGATATTTTTACTGCAACATACTTTTGGTATGCACTCCTTCACACATCAAATGTACATACCTAGGGTATTTATTTAATTAATATTTATTTATGTAACAAGATGGAATGGTCTCACCTTGATCTCGTGGGTTCTCTCGAGTTCTTGGGCTTGACTTGGATGAGTACAGACGGGAATATCCGACGCGAACCTCTCTTAATAGCGTGCACGCTCTAACTAAAACTCAACTCGAACGAACGTCTCAACAGTAACAAGTCCTAACTTGAACATCCGGGGTCTTAACCTCTGACCCCAAAACCTGATTACACTGTCCTCCCCCTATGAAAAGACACGTCCTCGTGTCTAGTATATATTCAACCTATCGGGGGGTCTCACTCTTCTTTCTGATCGTGTCTTCTTCTTAGTCGGAGGGGGTGCTGGGGCATCGCACACGTTTTGTGTGGTGTCCTCATTCATTTAGCAGTACCACTCTGCATCTGG